TAGTGCTATTTGCTGAGACAGGGAATACAGTTGTCCCATCACAAGCCCTGATGAAGCAGCTCGTTTCTCCAAGACCAATTCTCACCCTTAACTTAGTCAGCTTCACCGCCCTCAGCCTTGGGCTTTCTTAGTTTCTACCACAGTTTATATCAATAAAATCTCCTGAAGGAATATCTGCCTCTGTTCCATTCTTGTGCTTTCCTTGATGTGTCCTTAAGGTGGACTCTCAGTTCACCTCACTGACCACTAGTCAACTCCTCAGTCTAGCTAGCCCTGACACCTGCACACTCAACTGGCCCGCCGCCTTGCCATACGGCTACCTTCATTTGCCACCCCTGTTGGCCTCGGCCTTGCCACCACTCCAAGATCCACTGGGACACATCCCAGCCTGAACACAGCTTCTTTCTGAGTTGCTCAGAACCCAACAAAAAAGAAAAGGGCTTTGTCAATCCAAAGCAAAATTCTAGACCACAAACAAGATGTACTCTAAATCCTAAGAGGGAAAGGTGATAAGTAGGAACTCACATAGGTTAGCTAAGAATAAAACTGAATAGTTCCCTTTTTGGATAAGCTTACTGGATTGTTTAATCAGGAAAATGTCACGAAAGGAAGGCATTTGAGCAAATCTTTCATGTCCTGATAGACAAGACTGAGTGGTAATTCACATTTGGTTGAATAACTGTAGCCCGGGAGTATTAATTAACTGATTAATTCCCCCACAGGTGCTCAAAGACTCTTTCCTTGGTTCTACCTTCAAAAACTCTTACCAAGAATTTGGACAAAGAGAGACATCATACCTGTTAAAATCTGAGAATGATGCTTAGCTAGATAATTTAATGGGTAACCAAATTGGAAGGCTAAAAGATCTATATAAGTTGGCATGATGGGTTATCTCCAAAAATAATGGAGATAAGTTTTTCTTTTAAGATCAAGAAATCCATTTGTAAGGATACAAAATGAGTGAAATCTTGAACTAACAACAGTTTACTAAAAACAAGCAAAAAAACCCTAAGGGTTTAGTTGTTTCAAGGTCAAAATGAGCAAAGAGACTTGCTCACTGCTGCAAGCCCACAATGCAGTTTTAAGCTGTAGTCATTGCAGATGGTGCCCAGAACAAGGGGGGGTGGGGTGGGAGTTCCCCTTTGTCCTGAATATAATGCCCAGCTTTCATGGCATGCTTCAGAGGGACTCTGCAAAGTTGACAGTGGCAGCCTCCAGAGTAGAATTTTAGGGGGTAGGGTTTTACTTTTATATGCCTTGATTTAGTACAAATTTAGCATCTATTATTTTGTATTTAAAAACAAAGAAAGGGAAAACCTGAAGCATAACATGTGAGTTAAGAATGTAGAATCTGGAATTGGACCAAGTGTTCAAATTTGAATTCAGCCACTTAGCTGCAGGAACTGGGCAGGTCATGTCACTTGACTGGCCCTGGCCTTTTCATCTCTAACACTGGAAAGATACTGACTCCACAAGGTGCTCACAAGAGTTGATCTAAAAGACATATCTAAAGCACTGGCACATAATCAACACTCTAGAAACTCACTCCAACCACATTCAAAAGAGGACAACCTGGACTAAGGGTCTAGAATAGGAAGAAAGATCCTGGGAAGGAAACAATAACTGTTTAAAAGGTTCAAGTGTTTGGAAGGTTATTACGGGGAAGAAGAATAACTTTTTTTTTCTGTATTGCTCTAAAAGACATCCTTGAGACCAACAGGTGGAAACTCCTGTGGTAGAAATGCCTTTCCATTCACCACAAGGAAGAATGTCTCGACCTAGGCGATGCATAAAAGGTAGTGAGCACCCGTGGCTGGAGGTATTTTAATGGAGCTTGCATAACCACCTGCCAGAGATGATATTCAAGGAAGTCTCACTCTGGGAGCCTGGTTAGCTTTGTGGTTCTGAAACAGGAGTGATTATCAGGAACTCAAGGAGAGCTTTTCAAAATGCAGGTTTTGAGGCCACACGCAGTCTTAATGAATCAGAATGGATGTAGGGGCAATAACACACATTTTAGAAAAGTTCACTAGGAGACTCTGATGAAAAGCCAGGCTTGGAAACCATTGGTTTATATGACGTGTGTTTCCTTAAGTTTAAGAATCTATGACTTGATATATGCTGAGTTGAATTTTGAAGAGTGAAGCTACAATAAACTAGAGCCAGGGTGTCTTTGCAGGTAATGGGGACGAATAAGTGGGTAACCGCATCCCTGCAACAACCCAAGCATGGCCGGGACTCGAGAGCTCCTTGTCCAGCAATGATGTGAACCCGGGGGACCTTGCTGCGTTCTGACAAGGGAACCCTTAGGCATATGTCAACTTTCTACAAAACACTAACATACATTTTCTTTGAAAACCAAAACCACAAACAATCCCTCCCCAAGAGAAACATATGACCTATTCCATTTCCAGATTAGCTTGATTTTAGACAAAGCTGGAGATGAGGGAGATGTCAAGATGTTATGGCCAGAGAAGGGAACACAGGAGAGGTGCCACCTTTGTTACTTTTTAATTGGAAGAAGACGTTATTTCGGGCAGCAAGACATTTAAGGAATGCCATTTATTGTTTGCTGCTGTCACTGACAAGAAGAAGGTGAACAGGTAGGAAACAGACTTTTTAAATTGACCATCTTTAAAAATTAAGGAAGAGGGGCCGGCCCCGTGGCTCACTCGAGAGAGCGCGGTGCTGGTAGTGCCGAGGCCGTGGGTTCGGATCCTGTATAGGGATGGCCAGTGTGCTCACTGGCTGAGCGTGGTGCAGACAACCTTGTGTCAAGGGTTGTGATCCCCTTACCGGTCAGGAAAAAAAAAAAAATTAAGGAAAAGGAGTCCCTACACCTAGGGGGGACAGGTTACAGTATTAAATATTAGTAAAATACTAGTTTCGATGACAAGCACTTCCCTAGTTCTCTTAACTAAAGGTTAAGCACCTCTCAGTTATAATAAGATACTAGCTTATTCTCAGAGCATCATTTCCCATCCTTTGTGCAGTAGAGGACACTTTAAGAAATTTGAGAATGCAAATGTTACAAGTAGGTGTAGCTGGATACATTGATCTCATGCATACTTTTTACTATTATTTTTGAAGTTTATATAAACACTATTGAAATTATTAAAATACATTGTTATTTAAAGCATTACTGAATTCACAGTAGCTTTTCATCACCACGAACTATCCCAATCAATGGGTACCAAAGTACAAATACTATCACCTAGGCACGTGCAAACCTTTTCCTTCTAGAAAGGGTAAAAACTAAGCTCAATAGCTTAGGAAGGGCTTATTTGAGTTCATTTTCCTCCCATGCATTCTACAAATAGTTTTTCCTTATTTCATGTTGGGCTAGCTCTTAGGAAGTAGACAGGAAACGAGATGGGAGTGCAGAGAGAGGCTAGAGACTAAAAAGAGCAATGATTTAGCTGCTTTCTTTTTGTTGTGTAAGGGAGGTCTACTTCCCACCAAGTGAAAATCTTCATACATTTTTCCTGCAAACAACTCTCTGAGGATGCCAACATAAGTAAAATAAAGTGCAATTTAGTTTATTTTGGAAAAACAAAACAAAAAACAAGAAACCTCTGCTACTGGAAAAACTAAAGAATTATTGGGAGGAGTGATTGCCTGAATTATTCATTGCTTCCAAAAGCAATTATCGATTTTCTGGGATGTGCAAGGTTTGTAATCTGCCCTCAAGCAGTTTACAAAATAGTAGAGATGCCACTAGAAGAAGAACGGGAATCGTTTGCATGCCAAAAAGTTAGGGACAGTAATTCATTAGCTTATATTAAATTAGATTATGTACAATTTGTAAGCCTTTTTAGAATGATGAAATTCAGTGTTGGCAAGTTGTTGAAAATGATACACCCACACCCTGCTGGTAGCAGTATAAATTGGTACAATCCTTTACCAAAGCAATATTATAGTACATGTAATATTATAGTAAGAGCCTAAAAAATGTTCACCATCCTTGATCCAGTAACTTATGGGAAATTTATTTTAAGGAAAATAAGTCAAAGGAAGTTAAAAGTTATATGCAGAAATATTTTCATTGAGCATAATTTCTAATATTGAAAACTTAGAAGCAATCTAAAGGCTTAACAAAGAGAAATATTAAAGTAAATTATACTAAGGCTATTCAATGAAATACTATGTAACCATTAAAATATCAATAATGAAGTATAGAAATATGATGAATGCAGAAGATAAAGTACTGAGTAAAAATAAATGTAGAGTATAAAATTGCATCTATGCCATAACTGTAGTTGAATAAAAATATAGCACATATATGTTACCTATGAATAAACACTGAACAAAAACATGGAAAAATCCAAATAATTTTATTATTAGAAATTATGGGTGAATTATATCTGTTTTTATCTTAGAGTATATTTATATCATAAAGTTTGGTACATGAAAGAAAGTCTGAGAATGAGTGCAAAAGAGATTTCTACCAGGCTTACCCATTATCGTTAACTCCTGATCTAAACATGTCCCTCCCTGGGTTATGAAGTTATCTTTCAACCTACCCTCATATGCAGGGAGAAATTTGATTTTATAGTACAAGATCCCACAGCACTAAAACTTTCACAAAAACCTTTTCAACTGGTCCTGCAATTTGGGTTAGAACAACACTCAACTTTCACAATTTTTTATTGTGGTAAAATATACACAACACAAAATTGACCATTTTAAAACCATTTTAAAGTATACAATTCAGTAATACTAAGTATTACTTAGTTTAAAAGTTCCAGAACTCTTTTATCATCCCAAAGGGAAACCTACTAAGCAGTCAGTCCCCATTCCTCCCTTGCTCCCAGTTCCTGGCAACCATTAATCTGCTTTCTACATCTATGAATTTGCCTTTTCTGGACACATCTCATAAATGGAATCATACAGTGCATGCCTTTTGTGACTGGTTTCTTTCATTTAGCATAATGTTTTCAAGATTCATCCATGTTGCAGGTATATTAGGACTTCTTTCTTTTTCATGGCCAAATAATATTCCAATGTATGGATATACCATAATTTATTTATTCATTTGTCAGTTGTTGGACAACTGAGTTGTTTCTACCTTTTGACTTCCATTAACTCTTCTCTCAAACCCAAAGTTCCTTTACAGAAAGAAGAAATAGAGAGGAAAGAAGAAATAAAGTTTCATGAGTTTGCCATGGGATTCTGGAGACCTGTGGTTCTCAAAGTGTGTTCTCTGAACAGTAGCATCCATATCACCTGGGGACTTGCTAGAAATGCAAATCCTTGGGCCTCACCCAGACCTACTGAATCAGCAACTCCGGGGTTGGGAGCCAGAACTCTGTGTTTTAAAAAGCCCTCATGCAACTCCAACACAAGGTGAAGTTTGAGAGCCACTGGCATAACTGACACCATTGTGGGGTCCAACTCAAGGCATTTCTGCTGCCTTCACACAGCTCAGGTCTGGCTGCACAGGAGCAGTCTTCAGCCCAGTGCCACCTCCGTGGTAGTTCAGGAACAACACACCCGTCTGTCAGGATCCAAGATGCTAGTGTCTTTGAGTTCAGCTGATGCAGGAGACAAGGTTGACAAGACACCCTCACGTTATCACAGCTCTCTGTAATAAACAAACACATGTTGTAAGAAAATAGACTTAATTAGAGATCTGCATCCTAGCAGTTTACATTACCAAGTGTCTCATATGCAGGGAACCGCAATCAACTGTTCACTTCAGAAATGCCACCACGAAAACAGCAGACAGGGTCTCCAAAGCCTGATTTTGGTTTCTCCTCTGGCCTGGTAGGGGTCCCTGCTCACCCCCCCCCCCAAGCCTGCAGGTCATGTGTCAGGCCACCTCCATGCCTCTGCTCAGGCTGTTTCTCCTCCCTGCAACACCCTCCTACCCTGTCCCCACCCATCACACCCATCCATTGCTCAGTCTCCATTCAACTGCACCCCACGGGGCCATCCCAGACAACACCCTTATTTTTAGCATTACCATTCTTTACTTAATCATGCTGTCTGGCCACCTCCTGTTTGGGGTCATTTTTGTTATGTTATTATTTCGTCCTTACTTTATAAAACTTTATTTTCCAACTATTCTGCAAGTTCCAATATCTATGATGTAGCAGAGGAAATGCTCTCTAAAACCATGACTATGGCCACTTTCACATATTAGGACATAACTTATCTTGTAGGGAAGAAACATACCATTTGAGCCTTGATGGGACTTTAGGGATGAGAAAAGCAAGCTCCAGGTGTGGCCTGGGAAGGTCAGAGGGAAATGAGGAATATACAGAGCTGTGTTGTGCTCTATAGGAAAGTAACCGGAATTTGGGGGTGTAGGAAGGAGTTGGTTGGGCAGACAGCAGCTCCTGGGGAGAAGCACAGCCCAAGAAGGGATTTAGATAAAGGCCAGGACATTTGGCTTTCTGCTGTTGCCTGTGCTATGCTGTGCTCCAGCTCCTGTGCGTTAGACCAACCACTGTGGAAAAGTGGGCTGCCTGCGCCGCCTAAGGCATAAAGGATAAAGGAGTCAGGGCTGATGCGGCAGGGAAAGGGCAGTCACTGCCAGGTGCTGACAGCCTGATCAGGAGCCCAGGAGGCCCCAGAGGCAATCTCAGGAAATCTCCAGCAGGGCCTGGCTCTCACAGGAGGAGAGATGGGACCTGGCTAATAAATCTGGATAAGCAAGAACGTGAACCCAGAAGGCTGCGTGCCTTAGAGTGCTGCTTGTGTTACATTTACAACCATGCAATGTCTACCATGCAGAATTTGGCCTTTCTGGAACATTCTGCGAGGATGATGGTTACAGGGTGAGGGAAGCTTAGGGAGCATTTCTTGTCAGATGGTTTAGGGTGTCCAATATGCTAGGCAAAAATCACACTAAAAGGGAAGAGCATTGAGTATCCTGTGGGTGCCTTTTACATACTCACTTTCTAAAAATAGAACAGGAACTTAACTGCCTTGATGCTTTTTCAGACTAAACTTATTGCAGCCATGACACATGGAGATCTTCGGGTCTTCAATCATCCATTCTAGTACCTGTGCACTAGAGTGGACCGAGGTTCACTTTCTAAGCTGGCTCTTGGCCTTGCTCCCCTATCTGCCCAGGCCCTTTTCTGAGCCGACGCCACGGATTGCCTCTGGCTCAAGCAGGAACCCCTATTAGACTCCTGAACAAGACTGTGTCGGTCCCATCCCATGTCAGCTGAGGGGAAAAGCACTCCACTGGACCCACAGAACGTCTGCCCCTCAGGAACTCATCAGGATTCACACATTGTCTCAAACTCACTGCTGCCCCAGATTTGTCAAAGGCTGAGCTGACAAGGACATCCTTATGGAGAACTGTCCGAGGATGCTCAGTCCTACCAGTTCTCCAGAGGGTCTGAAGCCCAACCAGGGATCACGAGCTCAGTGACCTTGGGCAGCTTTCTTAACCTTTTTGGGCCTCAGTTTAGTCACCTGTAAAGTGAGGCTAACCACATTACACACCTCACATGGGTGTTATAAGACTTAAACGAGGTAGCGCATGCCTCGGGCTCAGAACTCTCACCGGCTTCTCTATGTGCACAGTGAGCATCAGCTGTTATTGTCCCTGGTTAAGTCACAGCCCTGTTAGGTTGGCTGTCCGTGGAATGGCTTCTATTGGCTTCTTCTGTGGCTTGTTGCCATTTGCTAGTGGCACCTGTCATTGGGTTTACTCTAATGAAGTTGTTGAGGACACTGTTTATATCACCGCACAGTGTCCTTCTCAGGACTCTAGAGAGATCTTTCTTTCCACTTAGCCCAGGCAGTTCCCTCAGCTGCACCCATCGTTTTCCCCTTATGACAGCGTGAATGACTTAACAGTCCGGTTTCCCTCACCACGCCAGCCCTCAGAAAGTGAGTACGACTTCATGCTAGGGATTTGTGTCCAGGCCTCGCGGTTGGCTCTCTTTTCTGACCCTGCCCCCTGCTCTTCTTCATTAAATCATTCTCTGCCTTGTAATAATAATAATCCACCGAGCACCTCTGTGGTCCAGGCTTGCGCTAGGAACCTTACGTGAACTGCTTTTAATGCTCACCCCAGTTCTACCAGAAACACATCATTCTCAATTTAGAGATAAAGAAACCCAGTGGCAGGAAGAGGAAGGGACTTGCCCACGGTCCCCAGGGAGGGGAGCAGGACAGCTGGGATTCCAGCCACACTGTCACACATGCCTAATTGATGCTGTCTGCCAGTATGTGAGGCATTTCTAAACACTGTCATAAATCCTTTGGGGAACAAGGCATGGTATAAATAAATAAATTATGTTTTTAATGATGTCTTCCCTTGCTTGTTCCCTTATTTAACTGGTACAACTATCATTGTGATGTCTGATGCTCCAAAGTCCCCAGAGGGTCCCAGGACACCTTGACCAACAGCCCTGGGATGAAAGGAGAAAGGCCGGGGAGCAGCAAGAGTACAGGTGAATTCTGCTCCCGATGCCAGGAACACCTGATTTGTTGATCACAGGCTGCCTCCCCCTCCCCCCACTCCAGGACCCAGAAGCACCGTCAGGATTGATGGGTTTGGGGAGCACGTCAAGCACAGTCACACACCCTGCGCCATGTCCTAGTTACTCTACATTAGTTATGTCACCCCACACGGTCCTCAGGGTACCTCCCTCTGTGGAATGCTGGATGCGGAGATGTCTCCACATGTCCCTGGAGGGGGTAGCATGACTAGCAAATAAGACCCAGGCTCTGCAGTCCCCTGCCTACATCTGAATCCAGGACTACTTCATTTCTCTATGCCTGCTTCATCTGTAAAATGGGTATGATAATAATACTAAAACCTCCTCATAGGGAGATAGCATAATGTGCTAGTTAAGAGCACAGAGCTGAATGACCACAGTTTGAATCCATGCTCTGACTCCAGCAGTAAATAACTGAGCAAGTTATTTACTTTTCTAAGCCCAGTTCTTCATCTGTATGTAGGTGGTGGTAGTTACTACTTTGGAGGAGAACGATGGGATAAAATTAATTAACATATATAAAATAATTTAAACTATGCCCAGCACATGGCACCATATTAAGTGTTAGCCATTACTATTAGTATATGTGTAAAGTGCTCATGGTGACTGGCAATTGATGTTAGTTATTATCTCCTCCCCAATTATTAAGACCAAACTGCAGGCAGTACCCTGGGAAACCTCAGTCTCCTCCAATATGTGCAAGGGCAGGAATTCCACGAGCAGCCCTTTGTATGGGAAATGGTACAAATCCTCCAGCCCCTCCATCTTACTGAAGCAAGAAGGGAGGGCTGGAAAGAGAAAGGGAGTGAGGACAAACCATCTTAAATGCAGATGAGGAGGTTTCTCAGTTCAAGATAGAGAGAGCCTCATCCTTTGAATTTCCAAACTTAATACACTCCCAGGCTCAATTCTTAGCTTTATGTAGACAAATTTGCTGCAAGGCTTAATGATTGAGGATGTGTTTCTTATGCTAATTCACATGAACAAATAGAAAACATTCTTTTTCCTTTTCCAAGTAACTCAGCCTGGGAACACAAGTCGCCTTGGGTTAGGCAGGGATGAGGCTGCATCTGCACAAGGCAGCTGGCGCTCGGCTCCCAGGGAGGGACCAGTACTACCCCTCCCTTCCACCTGCTCCTTGCAGCTCCATTTCTGCTCTTTGCCCTCCTAAATCATTTTCTCTCATTGTCATACCTTCGGGCACTGAAAATGATGCTGGCAAATTAGAGATGAGATCAGAAATAGACTTGGGAGCATTTATTAAGAAGAATTTTTAAAGGGAGAAAAATAGTACAGAAACAAAAAGTGGAGTAGAGCAAGAAGAGGATTCTAAGGTTTCAGATAAAGAAACAAGCATGCTAGAGAAAAACACAAATAGGAGGTAGGATCCAAGAAGCAAGAAGTATTACGTTTACTACTTAACCTTTATGAAATGCTCACTATGCCAAGCATACATGCATCAACTAATTTAATTTTTGGAGGAAAAACGGTAGATACTATGACCTTAACCATTTTGCAGATGGGGAAACTAAAGTTTAAAGAGGTTTAGGGATTTGCCAGCTCATTACTCTGCCCAGTGTGAATGAGGAAAGATTGGAGAAGTTTCAGAAAAGATCCATAAAGACAAAGAAGGGATCTAAACTTCAAGATTTTTATCAAGAGTTTTGTTAAAAGTCCTAGAATAATGTAGCATAGTGGAAAGAGGACTGGGGGGTGGGAGAGGAAACTTTGTTCTGACATCCATTGCCCCTGCCATCATCCTATCAGGTTCTTGAATGTCCTAGGGATGTGACTGGGGAGCCAATCCAGGAAAGGGCACTCATGTACTTAGCCAATCAGCATTCACCAACTTCCACACCTCCCACAGTGATTGGTTCACAGATACATACAAAACCCAATTTTAGCCAATGAGACATGAGCTGTTTTCCATTTTGTTTTTCTTTCAACATTTTCTTTTATGTATTTGTGGAGCACAATAGTGTTGTTGCAATACCTGCATACACTGCACAATGATTCACCGAGGGTAGAAAGTATATTTTTGTATCTGTTAGTCTCCACTTCTCTTTCCCCCCACCCGGCTCCCCTCCCAGCCTCTGGTAATCATTATTGTACTCTCTAC